ACCCTGGTGAATGGTAAGCCAGGGTGCAGGCTTGGGTGTCCTGCCTTTAAGAACAGAGCTTTTCCTCATAACTCCATGATCCTATGGAGGTTCCAGGGGCTGCTGAGGCAAGAGGACTGCAGAGGTGAGCAAAACTCCCTTCTCAGCCCCCGCCTCCTCTGGACACACCCTCATGGTGCCAGCCATGTTCCCATGGAGATCGCTTACCAATGGCAGCCTGTTCGGAAACACAGCAATGATATTCTGCAGACTGGTGGAATCCTCACTTTTGTAAAACCTGTGCTCTGTCCTTTAAAGAGGTCATAGTTTAATAGACAGTCCTTTTTATCCTAACAATTGTGTAATCAGCCGTTCATTTATTTAGTCACTTCCTCCTTTTTTATTGTCTCCCTCGCAGCTGCCTATTCCCACTGTGTGCAGCTGAATTTGGCCAGTACCAAATTCTCTTTTATTCTCAGTCTGAGGAAGAAATTATACTAGGTGTCAAACCTGGCCAGCAAAGGACCCATCCTACCAGGGCCATGTGAGGTTTCACGTTTATATAGACACCACTCCCTCCCAGTCTTGTGTTTTTGTCCTGAGAAATCCCAAAGAGCAGAATTCTTGGGTGGACTAGGAAGCAATTTTCCTACAAGAGCAGAGGTATTGATAAGAACGTGGTCAAATGGTGCTTGAAATTTGGCAGAAAGATCAGTGCTAGGCTACAAACCCACAGCTCAGCTCTTTCTCAGCATCCACGGCAACAGCCTGCTGTTTTCCCAGGTGGCTCTGAAGGAGACAGGGAAACGCACTGGGCCATTTGTCACTGCCCCTGGTGCAACATGCGTGCCAGTTGGTGCATGCAGCCTGCAAGGCCCACGCCTGCCCATGCCCGGACCCAGGCCTCTGGGCTGAGATCGGGGCGAATGAGCTTCCTCTCTTCCTCCATGTGATTAGATGATTAGATCCACTCCTCTGGGGTTGGAACCAACTTAGCCCTTCCCACCATGATCAAAGGTGCCCTTGCTCTGGGGTGATCCCTCCGACCCTCTTTTCAATTCAAGACAGTTGTTTAGGAGTGTGGGGACTCTTCCCTGGTATGCCAGTCTGAGTATCTCAAGGTTATTCTGGTGTGTTCTGCAGTGAGTGCTGGACTGGAGTCTCATCTCACTCAGGTCCTACCCTGGGTTCAGGGTGCTGCAGAGACGGCACAGGGAAAGAGCCAGAGCTTGCTTGCAGGGGAAGGAAAGTAGGGGAGCCTCGTGTGGCTTTATGCCCCAGCACCCACTGTGAATGGAATAAACTGACCAGATGGCTGGTAATATCTCTTTGCCGTTGAGAAGAGAAGTGAGATGAAGTATATCATCCAGAAGTGAATTCACAGATGTAAGTAAGATTAAAGAAAACTCTACTTCTAGAATTGTTTTAAGGGCATTTTATTGCAGATTTAGGTCAAACATTTAGAACTACTTCCTTTGATGAGGATTGAGTCTGGGTTACAAGTGAGTGAACTTGGGGACATTATGTGCCTGAGTGACCGGGCCCTTCACGAATTAGGGTAGCCTAACTGCTGACAATGTTGGTCTCGTTTTCTCACTCTGTGCCTCTCTTCTCCACCTCCTCCCAGTTCCATCAAGTGTAGGGAGGGAGCATTTGGCCCTCTGAGTTGGAATTATGCAAAACCCGAAAATAGACTCTCCAAGTGCACCCAGACATAATGATTCCATGCGGTAAGAAGGTCAGTGTGTCTGCTTTTCCTGCCAACACACCCCTGGCTCTTAATCTATGGCCGCCTTGTGAAGCAACAGAGCTGTGCCAGGAAGTTACACTTTGTGACTGGGAGGCATTATGAGAATTTAAAATCATGTCAATGGGGTTTTATAAGGGCAGGCCGGGGGAGGGGGATTACACACAGTTTTAGAAGACGATCTTTGAACATCCTTTTGTTCTGTGGCCTGAGAGCTACTGTAACTCAATTAAAAAAAATAAAAAATGTATGGCCCCAGCTATAAATGAACTCCACCCTGCCAATCCTGCCAAAAATTAACAAGACGTTCACCCAGAAAGTTTACTTTGGTTATCTGAGTGGTGGGATTATGAGTGAGTTTTATTGTTTTCTTTATGTTTTTCTGTACTTTCCATAACATATACTTCTTGGTTTTGCAGTGTACAAAAATAAAAAGCAATAAATCCTATTTGAAAAGTAAAACTATACCAGCTAATTATCTGACCGTGTTCCTTGAATGCTCAGTACCCGGTGGTTGAGAAGCCCACCAAAAGTGGCGACAATGGCATGGAAGGGGCAGCCCTGCCTCCGCCCCTA